CCCATAGAGCTCTCTATAAAGCAGGCCTTAAAAAAAATAAATATAATAAGACACAGACAATGTTGAAAATTGCAAAAAAGATTTCAAAAAATCTTGGATAATGAAAAAACACAAAGAATTGACTGGGTCACTACATTTAAAACATTATATCCAAGTAAGATAACAAATGATAACACAAGCAAAGAAGATCACATTAAAAGAAGTTTTGCAATGAAACTTTTTAATGGAGAATTGCCTGTAATGCTCAAAAGATTTAAGCATCAATCTCACATATATAACAATCCAAAATGTATATTATTTGGAAGGTATAAGGAAACTGATATACATGCGTTTGAGTGCAAAATAAATAATAATGAAGAGTGTGAATACACACCAATGACAAATTATTACAAACAACTAATTAATTGCTTAACTATAAAAATTCAAAAACAAACAGATGAGATAGAGGAAGACAAAATACAAAGTGAACTTAGGTCCCTAAGTGAGTCATGGAAGTTTTGAGAAGATACAGATGAAATGAGTTCATCTTGGATAACATTACACAAATTAATCAAGGGATTCATACCACAATTATTAGTATTCAAAGTTACATTAATGTTGAAATCTAGAAAAAGGGCTGGAGAAGCAATTATTGAAGGAATGGTTAACTTCAAAGAATACTTAAAAGACTACTGGAAAGAACAGTGTGAAAAAGTGGCACTATGGAAAGCTAAAAAATAATATTACAAATAGATTGAAAAAGAAAAAAAAGAAAAATTAATTTAAAAAAGGTGAGGGAAATAAGAGAATATAATGACAATATAAAGTTAGTAGAAAATAATGAAGGGGAATGCAGTAAAATAGAATAAATAGAAAAGAACATGATATATAAATTTAGAATGTGAATTAACTTAGGATGCAAATATAATAATAATTATAGTTATATATATAATTATTAAATCTAATGGGGTTTTGGTCATTAGTTCCTGAGATTATATTTAGACAATGATGAGTTAAACAGTAAAATGAATGTAAAATAAATTATCTGTATCTTTAAAATTTATACCTAATTTATTAATAAAAATTTATTGGAGCAAGACTCTGTTGGATTTAAAAAAAAGATAATCCAACATTATACTTTAGACAATTACTAATTATTACTAATTAACTAGATATTAATATTTATATTTTTCTTTGTAAATTAAAGATTTGTATTTTACTGCACCTTGTATAACTATACTATATTTAATTATTAAGTTATATGATTATTATTGTATATCACATAATCAATGATCTTTTGTATTATACTTAAATTATACATTTATTTTCTATTACCTGTATTTTCTTTAATTATTAATTTTCTTTTTATTATGTAATTAGTGATATCTTTACCATTAATTATTATGGTAATTTTTTTTCCATAATATTGTACAATAATCTTAGTGTTACCATTTATCATTTCTTGTGATAATTTGCATGCTCACAAAATTACTTTGTTACACTATCATCAGGAATTAAATAAAAACATTCTACAATACTTATAAATACCATTCTATAGTGTTATTCAAATGTCACTAATATACTAGAACACAAGGTTCAAGTGTATTATTTAAACATATTGTATTAATAATGTACTAAATACACTGTTCTAATACATTATTTAAACATTTCATATTTATAACATACTAGAATATCTCTATAAAATTCTGATGAAATAAAAATGAATATGATTATCAAAGTAATGGCAAAAAATCTATTTTATAATAAATTTTATTGGAAAGTTTTGATTAAAATTATCATCACTATAATTATAACAATTATTATGAATATGTTTAAAAAGTAATTTAATGAATACAAAAAAGAATAATATTGAAAAAATCAACACATGCATAAAAATGCAATTCTTTACCTATCTGATTTGATATAATTTCCAATTGGCTTTAATAAATTGCAAAATTTTTGATCTATTTCTTAAACTGTTTATTTTAGTAGGCAAATTATCTCTAAAATAATAATTGAAGAAAATTAGATTTAGAAATAATTTTTTATATTAAATCTTAGTTTTAATTAACTGGAAAATATCAGGTTACAAGGTAATATCTAAATTATATTATGGTATATGTCATGTAAAGGTATGACAATAAACTGTACAGAATGAAACACTATTTTGTACTGTATGATTTTATATAAATTTTTGCACAAAATTCATACAATAATATATATATTATAAAAATTTAATTGTATTGTATGAACTTTTTTATGTTAAAAAACTGTACAGTACAAGTATTTTTATATTAAAAAGCTGAACAGTACTAAATATAAACTCAACCCCTGTAATATATATTATTATCTATTTATGTCAAAACAGGAGTTAGATTTTGGTTGCATGCAAATCAATTAGGGTGTTATATTTATTATCACCACCTCAACCTACCCCAACATTCAATTTTTATTATATTTTTTTAAGGACAGAGAATTTTTTTGATCTAAATTATTATTTGTCACATTTATATATCACCTAGGTAAAATTCCTCCACAGTTAAAATTAATGAAAAATATCATTTGATATTAGTTAATCAACTGTACAATCCCAAATAAATTGTACAAGTCACTATTCATACAGTACAAAATAGTGTTTCGTACCATACTATACATGTTCCCAAAATTGATTTTGAATTTTTGAGATATTTCGACTTTTTGAGATTTATGCAAAATCTATTCTATATATGGAAGTAAAAAAAGTACCTAGTTATATGTATCTTTAATCAAAGAATAAATCTGGGTGGTCAAAAAATTTCGGGTTTTAAGTAAAATAATTTCGTCTTCTATGAAAAACTATTTTGACTTTTTTTTCCTGAAATTGCAATTTCGGGGTTCCAAAATAATTTTGCGTGCAAATATATACCATACAGTTTATCTGTATACCTGTCATGTAATTAAAACAATTGGCAAAAGTTCAAGTCACATGAAATTTGCTATGCTACAGTCACGAGATATCAACTTTTTTAAAATTAATTGTTCAATAAATTTTGTTTTAAATATTTTTTTTTGTTCCAGTAAGACCTTGTCTCAAATTTATTTATTAAGAAAATAGTAAGTTTTATATTATTTTTTTCATAATAGAAATTCTAACCTATTCTAATATTATTGAAAAGATAAGACTCAGATTAGTTCATAAGAAATATGCCTGCAACCTACTACTTGACAAGTAAACTTGTCCTTAGCATGTTAAGACCCTGCTGAACAACTTATTTTGTACATTCCTATCCAGTCTATATTATCATAAACTATCCTATATATATGTTTTCTAAAAATAACCATAAAAATGTCTATTGTATTTTTCTTACTTGTATTACTATTAACGTTTACATTATAATTATGATTATTAATACTATTCATATTAAAAATGTTATTGTTGTTAGTGTTTAAACAATTATTTATATTACGAATTGTTTTTCTTCCCTTTTTTTGTTTTTATACAATTATTATTTTCCCACTCCTTAACCTCTTTGCAATGATGGTTCCATATTTCTTTTTGTATGTATGATTTAAAATTAACCATTATTTCTCCTACCATTGAGTCTGTATTCTCTTAATTTTTTGTGACACTTTGTATTTTCTTTATGAATGTTAAGGGTATAAGATCCAAAACTACATCTATAAATGAAAAATTTTGTTTGTTATCAATTATTGAGTCATTGGGGATAGATAATTATCTAAGTCCATTTTGGATTCTTTATTAATATAATATGAACTATTTTGAATTATTTTATTTATTAAATTTTATTTTAAATTAAATATCTGAATGAAATAAAATTACTATATAATAGGGGCTTATCAATAATAAATTTAATTTAATTAGGACAATAAAATTAACTAAGTTTCAAATATTAATTTTGGTACATTTACATTAATATACAAAAAAAATATTTTTATTTAATTAATTTTAATTTTTTTAAATTCCAATGAAAGAAAATTCTCTTAATTATATATACAAATTAACAAAGAAACAAACTTTATTATTAATTATAAAAAATGTTGGCGAGATATTAAAAGTGGTATATTTTCTTTTTTATTGTTAAATTATTTTTTGTATTTTCAAGTTACCTGAAGGTAATGGATCTAATATCTCTTTAACTGTCTAGCGGGCAACTAAAACATAGTAGCATGTGAAAACTGACAGTTTAAGGAATAGTTCTATTTTAAAAAATACTTTTAAACAAGTATTTTTGTCGTGGGAAATTTTAAATTATCACTTAGGAAATTCGATTGGGTCATGAGACGATCATAAAGTAGCACAGATTCATATTTGCATTAGGAAAAGGGGGTGCTGCTTAAGGAACTTTTGAGTACAAACGTTGATCAAAAATAATTTAGCGATAAGGTTTAAGGGATAAAAAAAGAATTATAATCTTTCTCCACAAATTTCATTATATTGACTGGTTTTTTTTTATAGACTAATAATGCTGGTTTTTATCATAAAAGAAAAAATAATAAAAATATGAATAACATTTCATCCGGTACCTCATTCAATTCGAATAAAAAAAGAGAATTAAGAAAAGAAATCTATAGATAATCAATCAATCTCAACAACAACAACAAAAATTGTCATTACTACTATCATCAAGAACAACAAAAACAAGCAATGACAGCATCAAAATTTTTACGAAACATACATCATGTATAATTTTTCTATTTTGTGGTTCACGTTGACGTCACGTATGTGAATTTTTTTAGCCATAAGAAAAAGGAAAAAAATAAATTCGGAGTTTTATTTATTTTGCATTAGGGGTTTAGAAGATACAATAAAACAAATGAAAAACCAAAATAGCAAATTACAATAAGATTTATACATTTATACAGATTAAAAATGATGTAAAAGGTAGAATTAAAAATTGTGAGAATATTTAAAAATCAATTTAGGAGTCAGTGCGTTAGTATTACCACATTTGCAGATGTCAATTTCTTTAATAAATTTGTGTAATAATTATTATGTAAATCACTAATCTTCATTCCGAAAAATGTCTTTACCATATAGCAAAAAAGATTCTTTTGAAATTGCTTTAAAAGGTCGATTTATTAAAATATTTGATTATAACACATTTGAAAATATTGCAAAAATCGAAAAAGGAGGATTTGGTACAGTTTATCGTGCTAATACGACAAATTTAAAAAAAGATGTCGCATTAAAAAGTTTACATGAAAATATAAATGACGAATTATTTTATGAAAAATTTGTAAGAGAGGTAAAAAAAAAAAAATACTTTGTTTTTTATTATTATATAGTTTTTCGATATGAAATTAAAAGTTAAGTACAATTTTTTTGGAACCCACAGTTAACAAATATCACGGCTGTAAATTATCATGACAATATTATTAATTTTTATGGAATCAGTAAAAGTAATATTTGTTTGTTATTTATTAAATTCAAATTAAACAACATAATATTATCATCATCAAATAAGATTACATTATTTGATATTATTTAGATCTTTCAACGGAGACGTACTACCTAGTGTTTCAATATGCTAAAGATGGTAACTTGAGGACTTATTTACGAAATATTTTCGTAAGTCTTGATTGGACGATTAAAATTAAAATGGCTAAAGATATTGCAAGTGGTCTACATTGTATTCATGAAGAAAATATAATTCATAAAGATTTAGTAAGTATATTTGCATATAACACGTATAATAATAATAATATAACAATAATTATTGATTATTTAAATCGTAATCTAAATTTACTTTAATAGCATTCAAAGAACATTTTAGTTCATGAAGGAAGGCTATTGATAACAGATTTTGGATTATCTCAACCATTATATGCCAAATCAGATTCCTTTGCTGGTGGAATGATTGCTTACACCGATCCTCAATATTTTCAAAATCAACTAAAATATAAAAGAAATAAAGCTTCTGACATATATAGTTTAGGAGTTCTTTTCTGGGAGTTATCAAGTGGAAGACCTCCATTTGACAATATTCCGATTTTCGAAATATATAAAAATGTTATTTCTGGTGAAAGAGAAAAACCTATTAATGAAACTCCGAAAGACTACATCGACATATATAAAAGTTCATGGGAAAATGATCCAAATCAAAGGTCAAAGGCCACCTATTAAAACCATTCTTGATTCTCTCGAAAATATTAAATTAGAAAATATATATAACGAAATTAATGACAATCAAGATATTCAATTAGAAGCTCATATTGATAATTCTTCAACAAACGTATACAGTAAAGACTCCGTATCTATTCCTTCTTCATTTACTACATCAAATTCAGACCCAAACCAACGTCCAAATATCGGGAAAGTTGTACAGATCTCGGATTAATAGAGTGAGTACTTAGATTGTTGATTAATGAGTTCAAAATTTCACGTTAATTTCGTATCAAGCATCTCCTCTCTAATCAGTCATTAACTATCAATTTATTGCATTATGTCCATTAAATAATTAGTTGGTCTCTAAATAATTCTTTTATTTTACCAACGGGAATCATTTTCAATCCTGATTTGCCATCAAATATAAAAAAACCATTCTCAACTATAATCAACAAAGAACATGTTGCAGAACTTTCATCATGGGTTAATCGAAAATCGACCACTTATTCTTTAGTAAATATCCCTTATGAATTTCAATTAATTCTTCGAGGAAGTAGAGATGATTTTCATCCCAAAACATTTTGGAACATGTGTCATGGACATGCTGGTACGATTGTCGTTGTAAAGATTGCTGGAACTGATGAAATTGTTGGTGGTTATAATCCTTTAGCTTGGGATAATTCAAAAAGAGGTAGTAAGTTGAAAACAAACGAGAGTTTCATTTTTCATTAAAAAATGGGAATATTCAAAATTCAATTCTCAGCCGAGTTATAGATAATAGTAGTAGAGCTCTATATTATCCTAATGATCGGAATGTTTATGGTCCATTTTTCGGTAATAATGAATTTACGATGAAATCAGATGTTTCCAATTTTACTCAAGATAAACAGTGTCGATGTCGGGTTGGGTCTTTTATTCGTCAAAATAGTTATTATTATTTTTATGAAAAACCTATTAGAACAAAAGAATATTTTTCTATTGTAGATTATGAAGTTTTTAAGATTATTAAAAAACAAATTCCAAACTGTAAGTTTAGATAATATAATCTAATCTACGTAATTATTTAAATAATCATTATAAATATTTATTTTATATTTTACATTTTAATATTAAAATCTATTTATAAAAAAAAAAATTTATTTAAAATTGAAAATTGCATCATAAATATGGTTTGTTATTAAATTAACAATTTCATTACAACAAAGCAGTTTTCGGGGCAGTTATCTCGATAACAGTTAGTTTTCTACGTTATCGTTTTATCTTTCGTTAAAAATGTTTTTATATCGGTTCAGATATTGATCATATCTCAATGAATATTTAATATATTAATTTGATTACAACTTTCAATATCTATACTGAATATTTGAAAACAGCAGATTTACTTAAAATTTTATTTCAGTTCGAAAAATACAGGAAAATATTTCTGATAATTTAATTTATTTTGGAATTTTAAAATTAGCAACTATGAATATTTATATTAAAAAAATTCTGACAATTGACATCTATTTAATTCTTAGAATTATAATAAGCTTACTCTAATAATAATCTAATATATCTGAGAAATATTAGTTAGTTAGAATTTATAGCAAAGTTTAAAGTTTAATCAGGAGTTTAAGTTCAGTAATGAAAGAGTTTAGAAAAGTATTAAGTGTGATATAAAATCTTAAGTAGTTATATTAGTTATTATAAAGTTTATTGATTAAATAAAATACAAACTTTATGAACTCTGGTTTAATGTGTGCAATGTTAACAACGGAAAGCTACATCAACTCATACAGGATAAAATTCATTTTTTAACAAAAATTATATGAATCCTAATATTTTATACAATTTGTATTTTAGATAAATATTTATGTCCCATTCAAATTATTTAAATTTGTATTTTATTATTAATTAACTCAATCTTATGCCCTGAACCACCTATATAGCAAAGTAATAATCAATGAATGTCTCTTGTTACTCAGCTGATATTTTCTTCTATTATTATTTCAGATCTTGCAGTGTTATCTCCTTTCGAATGTTCCATTTTAATTTTAATCTATTTACGGATATGCAAATTATTTTCTATTATTTTTATTGTAATATTAAAGACGAAAAAGTAGGGGGAGGGGTTGCTATATAATCACGTGAAGGTGAAAATATTTCTGGCGGGTTATTTAACTAGAAAATTTAAATATAATTAAGATATATCTTTTGCATCATTTATAAGAACAATCTTATTTTAGTTTTCGATTTAATTAATATGATTTGCGTGTAATAATGAGATAAATATGAAAATTCATTGATATTTTTATTTACAGATGTACTGTAAATGAAGATTTTTAAATGAGGTAAATTAAAATATTTTTGTTTTAATTTATATTATATTGATTATAATTTAAAAAATATATTATTTAGATGGCAATTCTTTTGAGAACGAAAGATAACATATCATCAAATAGACTTATGCTATTTCATCGACTTGACTTTATGGAATTACAAATGTGATGGTTTTACGAAATTATAAAGGTGGAAATCTTAGAATTTATTTACAGTAAATAATAATTTTAATAATATTGATTGGAATGATAAATTTAGCCTATTAAATATGTCTCAGATCTGGTTTGAGCATTACTTTTACAAAAAAATAAAAAAAATCTCATTTCTTGATATTAACAATATACAAAGGGATGTTTATTCATTTGCATTGAAAGCAGTGTTGATTTAACAGTTAATTTTAGGTCATAATGTAGGAAGGTAATAGAAGGAAAATAATGCAAATTGTTAGGTAGAAGAATATTATTAAAAATAATTAATAAATACTTATTCATTATTTAAATAAATTTATAAGATAGTATTATCAATTCTATTATAAAAGAAACTGATTCAATTACATATAAAGAAAATGTAATGAAAATTTAAGAAAATGAGATGTCAGCAAAAGAGATACCATATTTTAAATAAAGATAATAATGGCTAAACCAATAGTAACTTATTTATGACATTCTACCTAAAAATATTCTGATAATTTTTTGTTTGATAGAGTTTGCACGTTATCAAAGCGTATATTCAGATAAATTAACTTTTCAATAGGTTTTTATTTGATATCTTTAAAATATATCAAATGTATGGTAACCATTTATATTATCTCATGAATGAAATAATTTACATTTAATTGAAATTTGAATAAATTTTTTTGGGTTGTATGATATGGCACGCATTTCAAAGCACCATATATATTTAGTCTACAATTCTTAAATTGCATTCATTCATTCATTCTTTTATCAGATGACATTTTCTTTTTTTCACTTATTATGTGTAAACAATAAAAAAAAATATAAATTTAAATTTGTATATATGTTATATCTGAATTTCAGTAATAATAATGAAAGTCATGTTATGATATTAAAAATAATATTATTATTTATGATGTCTTAACATAATCATTCCATCGTTTGAATGTAAAAATAAAATAAAATCATTAAAAAATTATTAATAAATAAAATTATATAAAACATTAATAAATAATAATATAATAATAAAAAAAAAAATAAATGAATAATTACCAACCTCTCTTTCTAATACCGATCATAATTTGATATTTTTTGCATTTAATATTATACAAAAGGTCTCTCGGGAATAACAATTCGAAGCGATATTCCACCTAATCATTTTTAATGAATTTCTTTAAGTAAATTTGGACGGTAAAGTTTCTTCTTTTCTCTCTTCTTGATCTTAGTAATTCTGAAATATACATATATATATATAATTGGGAATTGAAAATAAAAGTAAAATATAATTAAATAAGCGTTTCTCGAAAATTTAATTTACTAGCATAAGAATTTTTATTAATTTTAAATTTCTAATTCCAGACAATTTTCGATTACCTTTGGAGAAAGCAAATAAATAAATAATAATAATAATCATTTTGAATAATTGAATAATTGAACAAGAAATAATTGAATGATAATAATAATAATTACATATTTTAAACAATCCGGTAATAATTAAGATAATCTAGTGGTGTCTAATGACTGAATTCGAAGAAAAAATAGTTTAAATAATCAAACTCAACAACAACAGCAACCACAAACAGTACCTTAAAATAATAATTAAAACAAAATACAGTAATATTCACAACATAGTAAATATTAAAGCCAACTTCATCAACTTTTCGGACAATTTCAGTAAGCACCATCATCTCAAATCTTGTCACAACTTAACTTTTACGGAATTTGTGTGAAAATATTTTTTTTTTTTGGAAAATTATGTCATTGTTTATAAAATTCAAAAATATGTTATAAGATCATCTTTAACAAGAAAATTTTATCAATCCTTTTCCACTTTTGGAGTTTACCTTAGAGTTATGTATAAGGTAGAATTAATAAAAATAAATTCTCGCACTTTTAATTAAAAGAACAGCACACAATAATTTAATTGAGAATTGATTTAAAAGAAAAAAGAAGAATAAATAAATAATAGGCGATGATGTTTATAAGCACCGAACTTGGGTAAGCAGTGAAATTATAATATAAATTAAAAAATCAATAATAATTGAATTTTTTGAATTTTCTGAATGTATTTTTATTGGCTAAAAGTAATAACGAATAGTAAATCACGAATTACATATCAGATATATCATGTCATGCATAATTGAAACTCTTTGTGATTATGTTGCTTTTCACGAATCACGAAGAAGAAAAAAATAGAGGTTTAGAATTAAAAAGAAGTTTGCTTTTTACCAATGGTGATAGTCACCCAGTGGTGACAATCATCACTGTGACAAATAGATTTACTATAGAATTCAATTATATTTACAATTTAGGTACATGCAATTTGGAAGTAACTAAAGATAGAATATAATTAATAATTATGTAGTATCATGTTTGACAAAATCACATTTAATGGTATTACCTTATAAGACCAATGCAGAATTGTACAAGAAATTGTACAAGAAATTGTATAACGGAGGTTTATAATGTCTATTGTGAAGTTTTAGGAAGTTTTAAAATAAAATTATGTCTTTTAAATTTTTTGATAAATTATCTCTTGATTTTTCAGAACTTCTTAATGATCAAAAAGAATATAATGTTGTCATCGAAGTTGATAAAGAAGGAAATAATAAATCTTTTACTGCACATTCTGTTGTTTTACGTTATCGTTCATCCTACTTTGATAAAGAATTGGAGAACATGGCCTCAAACAAAAATCACATCAAAACTATTATTAAACCAAATATTTCCACACAAATAT